TATTGAAAGCATGATGAGATTTTATTTACACTCGTTTTATTTCTTTCTAATATACTAATGTTTTCGTGTAACTCAATCAAATTTAAGTTCTCTTTTATTGACGAAAAAGAAGAAACTTTTTGTGATATAGTTAGTGTGTTGTTGTGATTCATATAGTGCATCATTAAAACATTTTTGATTTATTATTCCAAATAAAACAATTTCCTGTTATTTATTTTAATAAAATGCTTTTTAATGGTAAAAACCTTATTTGTTATTTTCTAAATACTTTATCAAAAAAGTTAACGTATTCAAATTAATTGATAAATGAAGAAATGCATTTAACTTATTATAGAATTAAATATATTAGATGTTCTCATTTGAGAATTAATAACAGTAACCACTTTTAATTATTATCTTAATACATATATAATAAATCTACAAACATTGAATCTAAAAGATATTATTTTTAATCATTACAAAGTAGTTCATTATTGAAATTTCTTTATTATACTTTTGATTAACTCACATCTTTACAAAAAATAACTAGTATTAACAACAATAATTCTAGTTAAATATCATTAAATTATGTGTTTAAATTAAAAATACAATTTTTAATGAATTATGTTTTATTAACGTTGTATATAATTTAATAAATCAACTACTCAATAAAACTATCAATTTATATTAATTATCATTCTTTTATAAATAATCAGTTTTTAAAAAGTACTTCTTTTTGAAATTAACTAAGAAAAGGAATAAACTGATTAATTAAAAATGTTTTTGCTGGTTAGTATTGAATAAGTTTTTACTTATTTTTATTCCTTAAAATGGATAATATATATTATGCATATTTAAACTGTTCATTATTACATATATTTGAAATTTATCAAATAATATGTTCAGTGTTATTATGTGAAAATATCTTAAAGTAAACTGACTATCATTTAATACCAGCAAATACAAAAATAACAGTAATACAAAATTATAAAATTGATGTGTTTGATTGCCCACTAATTGTATAAAAATTTTTTATTGAAAATATGTGGAATAATAAATATTGTTTATTGAAATAATGCTTTAGATAACACTAATTCTTATTGTCTATTTGATAATAATTGTATCCAATAAATTATTCTGTTTAATAGAAGTAATGTATCTAATTAAACCAAACTCACTGTTAAGATAAATTCAATAACAAATAGTAGTTAATAAATGAAATTAATTTGATTAAGTAAATTCTAATACTTTGTTTAGTATTAATTCAATAAGATGTTGGTTATAATACAACTCAATAAAGTAATTTTCATAAACTTGGTTCTGAATTGATAAATAATAAATTGTAATGACAGTATTAATTGAATTAAGTGAACCAAGAATTTTATTCCTATTTTTAATATTAGATGAAATGAAAACAAAAAAGAGAGTAGTACTATTTCATATTATTTGATTTAATTATTTCTATCTTCTATCATAAAAGTAAATAA